GCACTCTGTGAAGACTCACGGGAAACTGTATACTATGCTTGTCACTTAGCTGTAGACTCCATAGCATGGAAACATACATCAACATAGCGTCGCAAAGTATATGAAAAGAAAGATTTCACAGGTGGACCCAAAATGATATGAGTTTAAGGGAGATCAGCATCTCAACGGTTACAAACTTCTCTATTCTTCTTTTGACACCTTACCGACTGCACTACTCGGATCTTGAGGAACAAGCACATTTTTGCAACATGTAAACCAGACAGTGATATGATTAGCAAGTCAATTTACATACTGAGTAAATGAAGAGTTTTCGGTGATATTCACCCAAAATATTCCAATACCTTTCACCATCATTTATCTGGCAGATAGCATGAGTTTAAGATGGAGCGAAAAGCTCGTTTGCAGAAATTTGGGTTCTTGCCTAATGAGTGAGCATTTGGATTCATGTACGCATCAGATGACAGGAGAGGCAAACATGTAAGGCTTTTATTCTTCATTATACAGTCCTGAAGCAATCGTTCATAGCCGTCAAAAGTGACACTATGAAGAAAAAAATGACCGATAAAATTATCTGTTCAGAAGCATAACGGTATGAGTATGAAAATTAAGGATAAGTTCACTGCTGCAAATTAGGATAATTTTCAAAAATCATTTCATCCCTGTGGCTCAGCGTATTGTAACCTGATGTAAGCCATCAGTAACTCCAGGAATTGTCATTAAAATTTGACGTTTACGATTCCCAAGCCGTTGTTGGACGTGTAAAGAATTTGCTGATTCACGGTTGTGGACATCTAACATCTAACATGCACTTACTCAAGCTTTTCTTGCCAGCGTCAATCATTGCCACGCCGATAGTACCAACCGGGCAAAAAACCACTCTTTACAGAAAAAATATAAAAAAATTTCAACGGTAGCTGTTGGTTGTCACCATCAGGGTCAGTGATCACGCCACACCGGATTTTTGCCACTTCGATCAAGTTATTGGGAGCACCAACTGTCGCTTGTGGCAAAGAAACAGCGGCCTCCATGGCGCACACCGTGTGTTCGTGCCAAATATGAATAGACTGTTTTACTGTAAGACGTAATTTCGAACGATCTGTGTCGATTACAGGCTGCAGTGCTCGACAAACGAACGTTTTTCTGAAACGGCGTGTTAGGCAGTGCAACAGTGCTGCTTTGCATGTGGGGGACAAAAGGTAGATGCTCGATAATCCGACCATCACCGGATTCAACATACCGCATGTTTTCCCAGTACAGATTAAGTATGTACAACGCCATTTCTGGACTGCTGGGTGTGCTTCTTCAGGTGGAACATCCCAGCTTTGTAGTGACCTTGCAGCGAATCGTAAACCCGATGTTGTAGGGGAATTTTTGATCAGTCGAAACACGTGTGTCATGTATGACAAAATAACCATCAGACGACT